CGTTATAGTGTTTTTTTCTTCTTTAATTTGGCAGAGAAAGTTGGTGTTTGTCCTTCACTAGCATCACCTTTCGGTGCGTGTGTTGTGACGTGTGGAGCAGACGACGATTGCGAGGGGACTAAGAAATGCTGTAACAATGGATGTGGGGCGTGGTGCTCTGAAGCAAGTAAGGCGAATAGCGGTTATTACAGTTATAAGGAAATTGTTTTGAACAATTGGCTGAAGTTGAGATGAAAAAATAGGTTCGCCCGATAGACTCGACTTCAACCCATCGTTCGGAATAATTTGCATATCACAGCTATGATTTCAGCGATGTAATATTAAGGCCGAATTAGAGGGCGCAACCTTTGCCTACACCCATCGCATGCAACCAGTGTAAGTCATTGACACAACATGCCTACAACTGTAGTGGGATTTAAAACAATTGCCTAATAGCCCTACAACATTTGTAACCAGTGTTGTCGTCTAAATTGGCCTTTAAAGGAGTAATATGTTACTGAAGACATAGTCTTTTGCAAGGTCTTAGTAGAGTTATCGCACTTACATTTAAATCTTCCTTAACCCTGTTTACTGAGYTTTGATTTTGCTTTTCCTGCTCCCTCTAAAACAGTAAAAAGTAAAGAGCTGTAAGGCAAACATAAAAAACAATGGTGCACAAAAATTCGAATTTCTAGAACCGCGATACACAAGGAATGGWTATGTAAAGGATGTTACATGGTCGCGCGTGTATCCATGGTAACGTTTTATTTCATATGTGAAAGATATCACGGAATAAAGATCACGATTTGCATCAGGAATACTTTTTAAAGATGAATAAGACTGCACAACTTTCGCCTACAACTTTTGCATGCAAGATACCTAAGTAATCCTTACAACAYGGCTACAATTGTCCCAGGGCTATTAAACAATCATTTTGAATCTCTATGATAATTGTGTCCATGTTGTAAACGAGACGACTTAGACAGTATGCATAACAGATATTGCTGTAGGTAAAAKTTGCGTCGTCTTATTCGGMCTTTACACACTGTACGTACCATAATACTGAWTATTAATGTATCAACAGCGTGTCCAGTGGGTCAAACACGAGTAGATTGYCCATCAAGTCTTTGTACRTATGTTGGATGTCCTGGGAACGACCGGTCGAGTCTAAGATGCTCAGTGGACTTCTGCAATCAATGCAAAGTAAACTTTTACAACGCATCAACTGGAGATGCAGTTGACTGTGGTCCAGGTTAGTTACAGTCAGTGAATTTTACTTTTTCTTCAACAACATTTTGAAAAAGCTATATTGTATAATATCTTCGCTGTAGTCACACTGATGGTGAGGTCCAGTACCTTGAAACATGTCTGCATATAACATTAAGAGTGTTATAAAGTGCATCCAAATTGTTCTTCTATTTCTAATAAAAAGCTATATTCAGAAGAGGATTTGGTGTGCACCATTCAAAGAGCGACAATTGTGATAAATAAGAGTGCGAGATGTTAGGGAAGCACAAGTGAGCGCTTCGTTCAAGAATAGAACATAATTTCACACCAATTTATACCGCCAATACTACAGTTTCGAATTCATAGCGAATAACCGCTGCTTTATTTGACAACAGATTCTCTTGCGCAAAGACCTTACAAACACAAAAGAGAGCACGAGAAAATGTCGTTATTACAATAGACTTGAAAATTTGCATTTTCCCCGAGTTGAGATTATCCCTGTATTCCCATAAGACCTAAGGTATGAGCAGGGTTAGCCTCAACTCGGGGAAAATGTAGATTCTTAGCGCTCTATTGTATTAACAACATTTTCTCGTGCTTTCTTTTGTCTTTGGTAAGTTCTTTGCGTAATAGAATCTGCTGTCAAGTAAAACAGCGGTTATTCGCTTTGAACTCGAAACTGGAGTATTCGCAAAGATTCTGACCGCTAACATGTTACATTTTATATCGAGTGAACCACGTGTAATTTTAAGTGATTTGTCTAAATAAAAAAGCTTGCAAACCAATTAAACTCTTGAGATTTTGGTTATTAAGGAATTCAAACATATTCTGTAGTACAAAGACAACCTTAATTTTGAAATGATCATATACACATCGATATATTTTCCTGTTAGCGGTCAGACTTTTTGATGACTGTATGTGAATGTCTGTTTCTACTAGAAATCATTTACACAAGCTTTTCTTYCTTTTACGCTCACGCTAAATGTTGGATTTCTTTCAGTTGAGACACTGTGTCCACGCATGCGTACTGCCAAGAACAAACACCTACTTGGTCAGTACATCCCCGAGTGTGACGAACAAGGTGCCTTTAAAACTATACAGTGCCACGAGGGATACTGCTTTTGCGTCGACAAGAGAGGTATACCTGATATGACAACAAAGGTTCGAGGTGGCAAACCAAAATGCGCAGGTGAGTCGATAGCTGACCGTTCTTTTCAAATGTTTAGGGCTTAGCGTTTATTATGTAAATATCCATGTGTGATCTCGATTATATTCCTTATACAGGATRAGGTACTCCAAAACCGCAATGAATTGTTATTCGGTGTATAATTGTGTAAAAGGATTCGTGGTTTCAGAGTGCGTATACCAATAATAGTAGCAACAATGCATTGCGGCCTTGGAATGAACTATGCACCATTTACATCTTTCAATATACAGTCATTTCTATTAATGTTGTTMAGTTTAWAGACAYAAAGACAACAACAAAGTCATTTGCATCTATCACAGTTTTAATTTCTTCACAAAAATATTCAACATAAAGCTCCAAAACGTCTTTACAATGTCAATAACATTTMATTCTCTTTCAATCTGAAATTTAGAATTACAATACTTCCTGCAAATATTAAAAAACAAGCTATGGAAATGAGTTTGTTGATGTATTTATGTCTTTACAATTGAGCAACGTTTATGGGATTGACTGTATATCGTTCGTTTTTCTTTGGGTCCTCTAGAGAAAACGYTGTGTCAAAAGCAAGTTGAAGAAGCCAACAAACTGCCCCCAATCGGCCGTTTTGTTCCTCAGTGTAAAGATGATGGTAGTTTCAAAGAAAAGCAATGTCACGCCTCTACTGGACAGTGCTGGTGTGTTGACGCGTATGGCCGTGAGTGGTTTGGTACCAGATCTCGTGGCAACCTCGATTGCAGCAAGTCAGGTACWATACACGATGACATCTCGAACAATGTTATTGGACAATGCTCTGTGGCTTTCTGCGCATTATATTTTATTCTGACGCGCGCAATCGTTTTTACATTTCTAATATATCAATTTACTTGTGTGACTAGTTTGCCCAAGTGGTGTCACGCAATTACAGTGTGATCCAATGATATGTCACACATCTAGTTGCCCTGGYTTCAAAGATGTCGTTTGCCGTGTTAATCCATGTGGGCAATGCAAACCTGAGTTCCTGGACAAGTTCAATAGACCRGTAAAGTGTAAGTACAACTTATTTTTACGATGAATAATACTTCCCAAATCATCTTTTCGATCCGTTTTCTACTTGGGTGAAGACCAAGGGACTGTCATTATAGCGGAAACCTCAGATTTGAGACCGTTGTTAAGAGTACAACGTCAGTGTCCGCTTGAAAGCGACTTATTTTCAGTTCCTAGTAGCAAGGATGTTTTTAAGGCGTACAAAACACGAACGCCCCTAATATCGGGGTGTCCATAAGAGGAGAGTTTCCTTGATTGGAACGTCTTCTGGTCTAACAGATTTACCACGTGCCGYCTTATTTTTGAAACTATAAATCTAATAGTCCACTTTCGATATTTCGGTAGTTTGTTTAACCACGCTCAAAAGAATCAGTGAAGGCGAAGCTCAGAGGAAACAATAGACAATTCCTTTGTTTCCAAGGAGCCTTGTCATCAAATTTTTTATGCACGACCGTTCAACAAAAATATCGAAAATTGACTATTCCTACCACTTTAGGTCTCACTCCTTGCCAAAGTCTACGGAACGATGCTCTTGGAGTAGGAAAAAAGAGCAACGTTTCCATGTTAGTTGGCCGGTACGTTCCACAATGTACAGACGACGGAGATTTCCAACAAATCCAGTGTTACGCCTCAACTGGCTACTGCTGGTGTGTGGATGATCAAGGAAGTCCCGTTAAAGGAACCATCGTCAGGGGTAGACCTCATTGCAACTCCTCAGCCGTTAGCGTTTACGGTAATGGTGGGTTGTTAGCCCAGCTTCCCCTATGTTTTGTCCATTTGACTTCGTTTTTCTATATCGTATAGTTAACCAAGACAAATGTGTCGATAGTTATGTAGGGTCAAGCGTATAGTCGTTTATTTCGAACATTAAGAGGCAATCAGAAATCCATGTGTTGAGCACTCGCATGTGACGTCCAAGCAGCTTTTCCCAGAGCCCTTGCATCAAATCCCTGTATATCATTCATATAAGGAAGCCATTTAGGCAAACTATAAAGGTCTTGGGAACGAGTCTAGGTCATAAGGTATTATTTTAAAATTACGCGTTGTATCTTCAGGTTGCCCAAAAGGAAAACCAATGTTTACTTGTTTACGAGATATCTGTAAATGGGAGAGCTGCCCTGCTTACCCTAACGCCAAATGCCGTGTAAATCCGTGTGGTACGTGCAGCGCTGAGTTTGTAGATGCTAACAATAAAGTCATCAAAGATGGCGATTGCACCAAAGGTGAATATCTTATCTTTATTCATTTACCTAATGCCATAATCATTTCTTATTCTTACAATTCATATGAAGAGTGCATGTACCAAACTTTTGCCCATTGTTCGGTTGCAATTKTATGGGCTCACCATCTATTRGTAACGTGCAGTTTCTCAACTTTCAAACTTTCCAGTTTTTCGTACTATTTTATTTTCAAGAGTCTTGGAGAATTGTAGCAACGATAAATAAAATAAATCTTTATTGTTTTACAATACAATTCTCACGMGATGATGCATGTTGATATTAAATATCCTGTCATAAATAAAGACTCTATTCATCAGGATTGACGYTGTGTCAGAAGAAACGATCCCTAGCACTTCAATCTGGACATGGAGGGCTTCAACCAGTAGGACGCTTTGTACCGGAGTGCGATACCTCTGGGATGTTTCAATCCATCCAATGCTGGGGTTCTGTTGGATACTGTTGGTGCGTTAATACCGCTACAGGAGCTGAAGTTGCTGGAACTARAGTGAGAGGAAGACCTAACTGTAGCAGCCAACCAGGTATGAGCTTTATGTTAAGTGTATGTAATGTATGGAATAGACACGAACCTCGATCTTATCAGTCGTACAAGTAGACAAAAATCTCATAAAGTCGACAGCAATATAGATAATGCAACCATGAAATTGTCTGTGCTTGGCTTCTAATATGTTCAAGTTATTGCAATGCACACTAGTCCTCTCTTTCGTCCAAGTGCCATAGCATATTCAATGAATTTGAAACGTGCAGACGATTCCGTGTTGGAAAAAGGCCTAAGGAAAAACCTTTTCGTATTTTAAGCTTTGCAGTCCATACAGATTCCTTTTTCTGCTGTCAGCTGTAATATTGAATATCACCATCTAAGCCAGATRATTATTTTATGCAATAATCATATTTACGTCTGTTTTATATCGTTATATTTGTTCTTTGCAGTAAACCCTGTAAAGCACGGCTATTGCCCATTCAAACAASCAAGAGATGCCTCCTTCTGTCAAAATGCCAAACSTTGTTCAGTCGACAATGACTGCCAAGAAGCAGACAAATGCTGCAATAGTACGTGTGGGTCAATTTGCCAGAAACCTATCCTGACAGCTTGTCCCAATGGCAGACCATTCTTGCTGTGTTTGCACATGTGTAATTTTGCTAAGTGTCCTGCTCATCCAGACGCACAATGTTTCTCTGATCCATGCCGCATGTGTCAAGTTGAATTCCGAGACAAAAATGGCAACAAAGTAGATTGCGGCCAAGGTAAATGAAGGTCATATGAAAAAGGAAACGGAGTCCCTTTGGTTTTAGTTTCTTTCTTGGTTCTTGGGGGTTGACATTACAAGATGTATTGACCGCTGAAGGTCTGGCGGTCTCGGACGCACATTTAAGAGCGATTTGAAAAATGTCGGACAATTTAGTAGTGAAAGTTGCTTTATCATGAGATACAATAAGAGACGGCGATCTTGATTCATTTTGTCTTTCATTGACCAGCTCGAAATATCTTACTTCTTTCAGGACTGACTCCATGCCAGCTGCGTCGCCAACAAGCTATGGGTCGGCTTGGAGCATTCAGGCCTCTATGTGATGGTAAAGGCAACTACGAGTTCATCCAACAACACGAGGGCTACTACTGGTGTGTGGACAGYAAGGGACGGGAGATCAGTGGCACAAGAAAACGATTCTCTAAGCCTGCTTGCCCTAATGCTGGATTAAGTTGTAAGTTTATTCAAATACTGTTATTGGATATCTTTATGATCACTCGCTGCTTTATTTTCTAGTGCCTAAAGAGCAGTGACCCTTATTTCGCCRAGCGATCTATTCTACGATATATAGAAGCCTATGAGCATACGATATCCTTAGCACGCTTTTCTTACATTCKGAAATTCGTCATCTTGGAGAATAAATGAATGACGATATTTCCGTGCTGTACTGTTTCCACGTGATACTTTTACTCTTTTCACTGATTTTTTTGCGGAGGATTATCATTGTACGTAAGTGCCGAAATATGTTTGAAACAACCAGCAATTTTCAATAATGGATATTTCTCAAAACAAAACCAACGACCGCAAAGGCTATCGGATGCAAGTGTGCTATCCACTCGATAAATTCTTATTCATTGGTTAAAACCATTCGAAAGACGGATGCCGGGGAAAAGGGTGAATGCATTACCGGAAGCTGCTCAATTCGAAGCAAATGAGTTATTATTGAATACCAACAGTATCTTTCTGTCGTGCATTCGTGCATTCCGTCAACCGTTTTAGAAATGGCTGTATACACTAGACAATTTGTTACTTAACTTATTCACCCTCCATATAACCAGCCTTTGAAGTTGAATTTTAAAATTAAGAGAAGAATAGTGGCATAATTTTAGCATTCAAAGCTTCAGTTGTAATTTGTTACCTTTTTTACAGCTATGACATTGTGCCAGTTGCAAAGCCAGAAAGTTGCAGGTAATAAAACATTGTTACCAGACAAAAAACATATGATTGCATAAAAAGCTGTACCGAAACAAATTTACTTCAATATTTAGTCAAATTTCAGTTGTACAGTTTTATCCGTGCTGTTCATGTAGCAAAGTAAAGGACGGGASGTTAGCTAACCTAGGGWGTAATTTTAGGTGCTCTACCGCTACTTGGYCAATACAAACCTCAGTGTGAACAGGACGGGTCATTCAAGCAAATCCAGTGCCATCCATCTACAGGGTATTGCTGGTGCGTGAACAAGACCAATGGAGTGATTGTACCAAACACTCAGATACGCGGACAACCCAACTGCAACAAAGGTATATTGTTTCAATAACAACTAAAAGTTTTTGAGAATTTCGTCGTACACAGGCATATTATTATTAATACTTGTTGATTCTTCTGTGCAAAATTAATTTATTTAGGTTAAAACTAGACCCTGTATGCAGGGTTGACACGTACCCTTTGTTGTGCATGATGTTGTGAAATCATTAGTAAATGAGGCCTTAGAAATGATTTGATCCTTCGAGCCTTGCCAAGATATATGTGATTTTTGCGATAAGCTTATGTATTTGGTGGCTCTTAAAATTTCAGCTGTAACCGCCTTGGTGATTCTGCAGTATAATTTTAAGGTCAGATATACCCGGAGATATATAACTAGGCATGATTTGGTTACAACGTGACGCTTTATTAACTTTTGATATGATAGTAACACAATATTTTTGCACATCTACATTAAAACTCGACATATCTATTGCAGATGTTTGAATAGCCATGGAATTAATAAGCATTTTCTAAAGAGTTGTATTGATATTCAATCATTGGAACCCGATCATTATAATCGTTGCCGTTGCTTCACGAGTACTAAGCGTGTTGATCTCTGTAGTGAGATCTCCTCGTCATCATAATTCAACATACCCTTGCTCCGAACACCCAGACAAGTAATGAGTTCCAGATTTTGGTCGTAAACCTTCATGTTCTGTTCCATATTCGTTAGTAGAGACAATATTCATCAAAATGGCGGATAAAACATTGTGCACGAGTTGGAAATGTTGCGAACRGGATTATCGACAGCGTTCGGAATACACAACGTAATGTGATTGGCTACCGGATATATAATTCACAATGTGATTGGCTACGAAGATGTACCGAAGCCAAACTTTCGACATTGTGAAAAAACAAAAAAAAACACAAACCAAGAAAGTGACAGCATTTTATTACACGTACCCCCTGCATAGCAGGGGGTACGTGTAATAAATAAACTTTGCACAGAAGAATCAACTAGTATTTTAATTAAAATAACTAAAAATTTGTTATAGAGCGTTATTAAATGTCAATGTCGGTTTACAGGAGTTAAACTCACTTTAGCAATTTGGTGCTTATAACGATTGGACGATCTCAGAAGTATAATATAATATGTACTTCTGACGATCTACAACCGTTTGTCGAAATGGGCGCCACTCATTAGTATAATTGTTTTTTTTTACAAGCACAAAATGAACCTTGAATTACTAACGAATTTACTCGCCTTGGAAACTTTGAAAAATGCTACAAAATTCCATTGAAAGTCCGCAAAGATATGAATGTGAATAATTCACTGAGAAATATATATCTGGGATAAAGTTATACATTGAAATATTAAAAAATTGTATTTTTATCGATCTTCAATAGAACCTAATACATTTTTGTAGAGCTTCCAAATACGTTTTACTTTTAAGGCGTTTACTTTAGCCTGAGAATCAGGCTCTTTCGAAGGGGATTAGGGCGGAGGGAACAGGGATGACTACGCCCCAATACCCTTCGAGGGAGCCTGATTCTCAGGCTATTATGTGTTCAATCTGTTCTGTGTTGAAAGAGAAATTATGCTCATAAGCGACAGCTAATAATTGGTTTCATTCTCCCTTACCTGTTTTAAAATAAATAAATCTCYCTGACATTGAAGTGCTTTATTTACTAGTTTGTAGCCCTGTTCTCTGCCGTATGTATTGTGAGTTTGGCTTTGCTAAGGACCAATTTGGATGTGAGATTTGCCGCTGTGCTTCAGTCCCAGTCAAGCCTGGATTCTGYCCTGCTAAGACTTCAAAAGGCGGAAAYTGTAACGATAAATGTAATCAAGATAACGACTGTCCGGGAAGTAGTAAATGCTGCTCCAATGGTTGTGGAAAGGTGTGCACATCGGCTGTAYTGAGAGGTACATTGGGTYGYATTCTGTACCAGATCCTATAGCCATGTATAGTATTCTTCGCGCTTCCCTTCTCCACCTTGAAATGTTAATTATCGAGCATGCAATGGTAGAAATCGTTGTTCACACCTATAGCCATTTATTGACAGATGTTTATCATTGCACGCTAACCTATCTTCTTGTTTCGATGCAAAGGCACGGTTACGTTTCAAGGTGGCACAGGGAACAGTGAAGAAAACTGCTGTTTACTTTCTGCATACTTGCAATAGATACCACTCAAAATATGCAGATTTTTCATCTCATTAGCATATCTRAATATYYCATTTCATGCGYTTTGTTTTGTGAGTTTCTAAWGTTRTATATTTGTTATAAGCTAAGCCCGGTGTCTGTCCTCACCGTCCAGTCGACCATGTGGGTGTCTGCATGAATAAATGTGGTGATGATGCTGATTGCCATGGTGACCAAAAATGCTGCAGCAACGGGTGTGGTCGCGAATGCTCTGCTCCTGTGAGACAAGGTAAATTAGTACTGCGGAGTTAATCAGGTTCAACGTTAACTACATACAGCAATTTAAAACAACGTAGAATACTGAATACATACCGTGTATTCCTATACTAAAATGTATTGTTACTATTGGACTCAGGCGATGTGGCATTTCAAAATGAAATTTCTTGACTATATCCTTTCCATCGAAAGTAGAGGTCGTTCAAGAAACTGCACTTACTTGTTAAAGCATAGAAGACAAAAGATTTGACTTCTTTTGTTTTGCACAGCATTTCACGAAAATATTGGTACTTTACATACAAAGCTGGCATACTGATGATTGCAGAAATGTTTTTCTCTGAGACCTCAGAGAACTTAAGAATAACTCTCACTTTTGCTTTGTTTTTGCTTAAAGGTTCATGTTCAGTGCGTAATATGCCCTTTACGTACTAAATCGAGACATTTTAGCTTCATCGAGACATACAGCTATTGAAAACTAAAATGTCTCGATTTAGTGCGTAAACAGCGCGACAATCGCATTAGTTTCAAACATGCTTGAAATTTAGCTGCAACTCGCGGCGATTTTTGATCGCCGCGACAATCGCAGGGCTGTAAAAATTGCAAGTGTAAACGGGCCTTAAGTGATCCTGTTCCTTTTTTGTACAGCTTGTCCCTATGGCCAGCCATTGGTTATGTGCCKTGTTAATCCCTGTGAGAAGAAGGCATGTCCTTCCAACCCTAAGGCTGTCTGCCGACCAAGATACTGCGGTGGCTGTAAAGCGGAGTTTTTCGATGAGAACAACAAAGTTGTCGATTGTACAAAAGGTACACTAATACTTGTAAAGAGAGATTGTCTGGGAGATGTTACCCCAAAGCATTGCCRTATTATTGATAGCAATACTCACAAGTCAAAGGCATCTGAAATGCTGGTTTTCATAAAAGAAGAAATCCGATGTTGGTCTGTTTCTTTTGCATTTGATTTTCAGTGGATGAATGGATATTATGACACTCTAATTTTCGCCAAATGAAATGATATCTATGGACCCCTTGCAGTTCGTGGGAATGCAATTCCAACTGGAGGACAACTGAATAGATTCTAGTTCCCAAGAGGGCAAAAATCTTTTGTTTTGACCTCCAGATGAAGCTGCTTTGACGTCACATGCAAGTGGTCTATAGCTTAAAGTRGCAAGCTTGACAGTAGTTTCCGTAAAATTATATTGCACAGATGAACCCAATAGAAAGAAGCAGCCTCGTTTAAAGTCTTCCATTTATCTCGATTTATAATTGCTTTACAAACGCAGGTCTAACAAAGTGCCAAAGCAAGTATCTTCAAGCAACCTCAAAAGGTCCACTAATGGGTGCATACATCCCTCAGTGCGACAAGAACGGGGCATTCAGCGCCATGCAATGTAGTGGATCGACTGGRTACTGCTGGTGTGTGAACACTGAATCTGGAGAGAAAATCCCCAACACTGACAGCCCTCCAGGAAAAGATCGTCCATCTTGTATGTATAACAATCAGCTTATGCCAAGTACACATCGATGTAGACATTAGCGAGATACAAAGMGTTCACGTAAAGCATTTATGATTCTATTTTTCCATAGGTAACAGCACTACACATGTTGGCCCAGTGTGCCAAAAGAGCAGCAAACGATTCTCCTTGTGCAGTGGTTCTCTGTGCAAATCTGCTAACTGTACTCGTAACCCTAAAGCACGCTGTGTAGTTCCCATGGGAACGTGTGATGGTCTCTGCAGGCCGAAGTTTTACGACTACGACGGCTCAGAAGTCCAATGTAAATACCTATATTCATACTTTTTAAGTGAAACCACGSCATTCATAGTTCATTGGTTAACATTCACACTGACTRACATARTTTGTAGAGGRAGAAATAGTTATGAAGCCTTTTGTTGTAGGTTTTTTGTGCACTTTTTTCCAAGCGTGATCGTGTACAATCTTTTATTTAACTATTGTTTTMGCCATAYTGGTCACATCTGAATGAACAGAGCGAAAATKATTGACTATTTCTTCAAAATACACAAACAATTTTAGTCAATATTGAAATATTTCTCATAGACGGTGTTTATGTTTAGTTTTAAAGAAAAGAGGATGTGCAAGGTCTTGACTGATTCAACCTCGAAATACGTACAAAAGATGTACAATAGAAGTACAACAAAAGGTTTCCAAACGATTCCCCTCTATTAACTATGTGACTAAGAACCATTATATTTTACAGGCCTAACAGAGTGCGAACAAAAAAGACTCGAGGCGACTCAAGGTGGTCTTCTAGGTGCATACAAACCTACCTGTAATAACGACGGCACCTATACGCTCATCCAGTGTCATCCTTCTACTGGCTTCTGCTGGTGCTCTTCCCCAGATGGAAAAGAATGGCCAGGAACACGAGCACGTGGTCAACCGAAATGCCTACGAGAAAGATCAGGTAGAATATTATGATGTTCGAACGCGAAACAAACAGCCAAACAGCCTTTACAAAACTATACCCGTTCAATTTTTAGTATGGYTTCTAAGTCAGTGCTTGTCAAAGTTATATAACATTTTTCAAATAATTCTTTGAAGAGAATGTGGTATGGCTTTGAATAACTTATTAGAGTGGTTYTCATAG